TATATGATTGCTGAACTAGATGGGTCGAAGTGGAAAGATCCTGTGGCTGGGGCTAGACTGAAGTTGTTTAAGCCAAGAGAGACTTCTACTCCTGCTCTGACGCTATCAGACGCTAAAGGAAAGGGGAAAGCCAAGGCGGCAAATGAAGGACCGTCGAGACGATTCGAGGTAGGTGAGAGTTCGAAGAAGAGGAAGAGAGTTGAGACCAGGAAAGTGAAGGGCTTAACGCTAGGTAAGAAAAATAAATGGGTCTTTGTTCTACAAAGACCTAAGCGCAGAGTCCGCATTAGGAAGAGTGGCGCAATTGACGCACGACCTCGAGGGTGAGGCGTTGTCACCAGGCGATCGGACTTCGTCCATATCGTGTGGAGGACGAGTACGACTACAACGGTTGGGATAGAGACGACGACGAGGAGGCCTGGGAGCCTGATTGGGTCGACTTCGAGGGCGAGAGTTCTGAGCCGGAGGAGGAGATCGACGTTACCGACGTCCATTTCCCGAGGATAGGAGTAGTAGTCCGGGTATAGGACGTAAAGTATAGAGGGGCATACTAGGTGCGACGATAGAGTGGGTTTAGTGACTGGTATCGGCCGATAGAAGGGCGCGATTCGATGGTAGAGCAGGTTGGTAGATTGGAGCTCCGGATCGACAGCGTTAGATGCCCTAGACCTCCAGAGACAGTGACGCCAGGCAGAGTGGCTCTAGATCTGCCAGCTAGAGGGGTTTCAGCGGATGCGACAGAGAGCAGATGGTCGTCGACATTATTGGGCCCGGACGTACACCTATGGCCGTACGTCATCGAGACATTCGAGCTGGACAGTCAGAGGTGGCGACGGCCTGGCACGACTAGTATAGAGGTGGTAGGGCACATCTACTACTCGCCGGAGGTGCTAGCCACGGTCTATTTTCACGGCCTTGTGCACGGTCATTGGCGTGAGGAGCAGACCGCGAGGACGATCTTACTGGCTCGAGGGAGCTCCGCGGGCGGCGAGGTAGAGCGGCTGCACGGGAGAGTTCGGAGTGTGACGACGACCTTCAGGATCGGAGGACTTTTCCCATATCCCAGTAGTCGACTGTGTGTCACACTTCCGGACTTTGTGGCGGAGGAGCTTTGGGGACTTAGGCGTCTGGGTGAGATCTACTTCGCGGCTCTCGACTTGGACGGCCTCTGCCGAGGATACGCTGATAGGGACTGGGTGTTGTATGCTCAGTTTGTAGCGGGGCCGCTTGTCGGTGAGCGAGGACTCCAGCTGATTGAGTTCTTGCGGGACATTGTACCTACCGGGAGCCCTGACCTATACTCCTTATACCAGCCCCTAACTTTCAGGACGGCGCTAGAGAGGGAGGCTCAGAGGCCTGCAGATCATCTAGCAGGAGTAGGGCAGCTGTTAGCCGAGACTCGTGAGGAGAGGCCGAGCCATCTCATCTCGACCTGGGAGGTTGAGGAGTATTATCAGTGAGTATACCCAGAGGCAGACGATCTTGGGTGGTACGCCGAGGATCGGGATTGGGAGGACTTCGATGACGTAGATCCTTGGGGCGACCAGGACCAGGGTTGGGGAGATCTGGCTCAGGCCGATAGAGAGGAGCAGATAGGTGGAGAGGCACCGCTGGAGGACGGCTGGGGACATCTTCCTCAGGCCGAGGGACAGGAGGCCATCCCTTGGGGTCGAGACTAGGACGAAGATGAGGATATGCCGGATGCGAGAGACGATTAGAGGTAGGGCATATCCGTGCGTTGTTTGGAGGCGAGTTCAGTGAGGAGACGGTTGGTGGACTCAGAGAGATAGCTTTAGGCAGGACGGGTGCTGCAGGACGCGCCGGTAAAGATGGCGGACATGGACACGTTGAGAGTGACCGTTTCCGTGCGACGAGATAGGACAGAGGGTTGGGAAGGAGAGATGATAGACGATGTTGCGCGCCAGATCAGACTCATGACCGAGCATGCCCTAGCGATACGGAGAGGTCAGAGATATATCGACTATACCATCTGCTTCCATGGAGATGACGGGAGAGTGCACAACACCTACTCAACTGTATTGAGCCTGAGTGGTAGAATGGTCTGAGAAGGTAGTGGCGTCGTAAGATCGAGTGCGTCAAAAGGACTAAGAGTGACACGGATTGAGCGGCGTATGGTAATGAGGAGTGATTCGAGTGCATGGTGGGCTTATGTCCTATTGCGAGACTCAGACTCCTATAGAGTGGGGAGACTGGCCGACCCTAGGGAGACTGCGCTCGACTACGACATACCTCTTCCCGTGCGATTGGAGGATAGCCATAGGGTGCCACTCAGATACACCGGGACGTGGATAGCAGAAGGAGTGTTTCTCTGGACAATAGTTTTAGAAGTAAAGGGACGAGGTTGTAGAAGGCAGGTGGAGTTGATAGGACACCTTATTTATGATCGAACGCGGGAGGTTGAAGTAGGACTGACGCTAGTCGGTATTGAGAAGAGCCTGTGGAGACATGAAGCGTTGTCGAGAGCTCTTCTGGCTAGGAGGGCGAGATCGATAGCAGGAGAAGGTCGACCACAAGTGCGTATCGTGTTCGGGCCGCCGCCGCAGGATCTTCATCCGGTACAGGGTTGGAGGTGGACTCTCCCGCCGTTCGTGATAGACCAAGTATACGGGAAAGTTAGGAGCCTAACGCGAGCGGTCCGGCATACACACCTTGCTCTTGGATTAGGGTTGGCACCACGGTTCAAAGAAACTTATTTTGCGATCAGTCTATGGTGGAGGCACTTTGATGATGAGGAGCTGAGAGATCTAATAGACGCAACGTTGGGTAGACTGTCTGAGGCCGGTCGACTTAGTCGAATACTGTCGGAGACGTGTGGAAGAGAAGTACGCGGGACTAGAAGACCTGAGGTATTTGTTCAGAGAGCAGGAGGTATGCCGGGTCGGAGATCGGCTGGAATCGAGGTAAGTAGGCAATTAGTGAATGAAGGTTTCACGATTACTGTTCTACTCAGGGCGCGCGTAGAGGACAACCTAACTGAGCTGGATGGTATATGAGGTGATTGTCTGCGTTAAAGGAAGAGTGCGTTTGGAGATAATTCGAGACGAGACGCCCGCAGAAGCTCGAAGTAATATGTGATAAGTGTTTTAGGTTAAGAGGGAGATGGGTCGCAGGTGATGGAAGATCTAAAAGAAAGGAAAAAGAGGGTTGAGGAGCGGATTATAAAACCAGTGGCAGAACGAATTAGGGAACTCGGTATCAAGATTCAAGACAGCGGGCCCAACAAGGGTGAGGGTGAGCTGCGTAAGATAGAGGGTGCGACAAAGGCGCTGGAAAAACTTTTTCAGGAAGGATAGAGAATTTTTCAGGAGATGGCGGTTAAAATTTATAGAGAGCGTCAAAAGGAGAGATCATAGCAACGAGGGATCGCTCGAGTCAACAGGAAGGAAAGAGGAGTTGAGATAGTCTGCAACGTCAGAGAGAATAACAAATATTGAAGAAACGACGGAAAATGAGAAGAAAGAATGAGCCTTGAGAAATATTCTATGCGAGTTGTCGGAAGGTTGGATGGGCCAATCGCTTGTGTAAGAATAGAGTTGGAGCAACTAGAGAGGCTCACCTTGGTTGAAGAGGCAGAAAGCACTAGAGAAGCGGTTCAGAAAGCGCGAGTGACCGGACTTTGGGTAGGAGAGGGGAGTGCACGTTTGATCAACTATGAGTTGCAATTGTCCCCTTACGAAGGGCTGTCCTTGAGTAGGGCGTGGCGTGAAACTCCTAGGAAGGTTGAAAAGGTCCTGAAGAGTGAGGCGGAAGTGTAAGGAGATTTTGCAAAAATCATAGTAGAGAGCTCTGTTCTTAGAATCTTCAAAGCGCACAACCAGTACTGGAAAGAGTACCTTCATACTTTCTCAGACATAGAGGATTTCGGCGATATAGACGATTTTGAGACGTTTTACGAGCTTTTGGAGGAATCCAGGGACAAAGTTCTGTTAGCTTTAGCACTGATCGCAGCAGAGTGTTAGATGCCTCATGGATGAGAGATGCCGCTACCAGCGGATAAGCTAGCAAAAAGAAGACGAAGATTTGGAGGAGGGAAAGAGCCCTATGCGGATGAGCATGAAAAGGTACTACGCGAACTGAGCGAGATTAGCAGACGAGAAGTTTTCCCATACGAAGTGATTAGGTATCAAGTGCAAAACAGCAGGATAAAACTGAATCAATACTATATTATGACCGTAAGGTTCTGTGATCTTGAAGTGTACCACATTGGCATATATCTACCCAGAGAGAGAGAAGAACTTTGCATATATGGAAGAACCTGGAGAAGAGTTGCCTGGGCATTAAGAGAAGAAGAAAAGAGGTTAAAAGGTCTGGGAAAGATTGTGGAGGTCTGCGACGACATCACTATTTTTGATGGTCTGCCTAGGCCGCCTGTTCCATACCAAGGGCTAGAGCAAAACAAATGGGAAGCAGTAGTTGAATTCGCTCGGACCGTCAAGACCGAGGGCAAGTTCAAGAAGACCACTAAGGATGGATAGGATGAGGGAATGAGTAAAGATACGACCATCTCTGAGAGAGAGTTGCGATCGAGAAGAGAGAGGTTTTTTACTGGTAACAGACCCCCTTAGGAGAGATTTGCGACTATCTGCACCCTTTTGAGTTCGCTAGGGAAGAAAGAAGCAGTTCAGTATGAGGTAGAGAGATACGACTTTGTTGACAACGGATGGGAAGAGATAAGGCTGTATGTGATGACCGTTCGGTTTATCCAATTAGACGTATATGATGTGAGGGTCTACTTACCGGCGGAGAGAAGGGTAGACCTTGTCTACGGGCGTTGTTGGGAGGGAGCAGAAGAGGTCGTGGAAGCTGAGCGAGATAGGTTACTAGCTCTAGGGAAAGACGTTAACTGGAGCACACAGATAACGGTCTTTAAGGGACTTCCCAAACCCCCGACTCCGTACCAGATCGCGCAAGAAAGGAACTTAGAGATTGTGATTGGACTTGCCTTGAGGTGTCAAGCGATTGATGGCCAGAGGCGGTGAGTACCCGTTAGCAGGCGTTGGCGTAGTGCAGCGAGGGTTGAACGATCTAGAGAGAAGGACATCTATCGATCTGCGAGAGTGGTTGCGAGCATGTAGTCGCGAAGAGTTACGCGCAATAGAGAGTGCGATTTGTAGGGGAGTCAGATGTTCTGAGACTGGGGTGTTAGAAGTCCGAAGAGGCGTCGCATGTATAGAGAGACGGGAAGGACGACTTTTCCTTGACACTGGGGTACTAGGAATCGAGGGGACTCATGAGATTCGAGATGAGAGCGGGAGATTGGTAGTGATATTGAGGGCGGTTGAGAGCTAGAGTTAGGTACTTGGAAGATCGACCGAATCTGTTCAGGCATTAAGACGGTTCTGACATTAGGTCCGGACTGCCGGTTCTGACGTTAGGTCCGGGCTGCCGGTTCTGACATTAGGTTCGGGCTGCCGGTTCTGACATTAGGTCCGGGCTGCTTACAAATTCAACCGAAGGAGAGAGCAAGTATATGGAATCTTACACTATGAGACCGCATCCGGATGAGGAACAAGCTGTATACCGAGCATCGCCGGACCGCGCTCTGCGAGACCTCAAGGAGCGTCTCCGACAGAATGCCCCTTTGAGGTGCGTAGAGCAGTCGGACGACGGCAAGCCCGAGGTGATGGCGCCTCCAGTCGTCACCGAGCCCAACAGGACCGCCCCGATAGAGCGGGTGGAGATTCAAACCGAACCTCCGAGTTTTCGGCGTGAATCAGTTATTCAACGCTCATCTACGTACGAGCGCATAGATGATAGAGGTGGTCAAGGACGAGAAGACTGGAAGGACCAGTTCATTAGAGAGCAACTTTGGAAAGATAGGGAGAGGGTTGCCATGGCCAGACGGATTTTTGACCCTTAGACGGGGGAATCACACCCCCTGCCATACGAGACGAGAGATAGGTTCATCATCTCGCATCAGCCTTCAGAGTTGGATACCAGGCCTCCTGTCTTCCTGGGATGCGGTATCACTGAATACCTTGAGAAGTGGGAGCTGCATGCCTACCGAAGTCAGTGGACTGAGGGAGAGATCATAGACAACTTCTTGTTCAACGCAGACCCAAGTCTGAGTCGGGTTATAAAGGAAGCCCGACCAAGGGATAGGAAGTGGGCTACGCACAAGGACAACCTCTATGAGCTTTTTAAGTTAGAAGACGTCAAGTATTCGATCCAAGATTTAAAAGCTTTGACTCAGAGAGAGGGCAAGAGTGTCCAAGCATTTGGGATGCGTTTTCAGAAGGTATCTGATGCCCTTATGGCAAGAGGGAAGTTGTCAGAAGTTGATAGATGCACGATCTTCCTTAGCCGACTACCCAGAGGGAAGCAAGAGGCGGTGCTGAGGGAGACGCCTCGCGATAAGTTAGAATTCACTGCTCTACTTAAGCTGGCAATGAAGGCTAAGGCGGATGATTACAAGGATTTACTCTCGAGGGGCATGCAGCGCGAGGACTTTTCCCTCTATAAGGAGTACGGGACTGATAGATGCCCATATTTTAACGATCAGCCGTGGGCAGAGCGACGTTATTTGCTGGACAGGGACAGACCCCAGCGGTCGAGGGATAACGACCCAGTAATAAAGGAGATGAGAGAGATGATGAAGGGGATGGCCAGGCAAATGGCAAATTTCGAAACAAAGGTCGCAACTACGTACCGGGATAAACCCGGGTCTCCTTACTCTTTGAGGTGGGACCGTAGGAACACCGATCCGTGGAGGAGCGTCGAGGATCGAAATCCTCGCACACTGGCAGATTACCGTGCGAGGGAGAGAGATGAAGATGACCGGAGACGTAGAGATGAGGATAGCTGGCGACGTCGAGATGATGACATAGATAGAGATCGCCGACGCGACGGGTATCGAGGAGGAGACTCCTCTAGTCGAGGGGGCAAATCCTAGCAATATCCGCGCAGTCCCAGGTATGGAGGGAACACCGATGGGTACCGGAGCCTAGGCAATTTCAATTCAAGAGATAGAGAGGACTCTCGCGGGCGAAGGGAATCGGATAGGAACCGCAGGGAAGGATATCGAGGTGGTTATGAGCGAACAGAGAGAGGTGGAGTTCTTAGGGAAGAGCCACGGGGACAGTATGAGAGAGGGTGGTACCCTGCTCGCAAGGATTCCCCAAGTCCCCAAACTATCCGAGATCCCCTGGACCGTCCAACCGGGACGCCAGGCGGCCAGCTATTAGGGGCGCAGAGGAGTGACCTCCTACACCTAGTAACTCTTGTATTTATTGTAGGGCTGACGATCACGTGAAGAGGGACGGCCCCGACCTCAGGCGAGCAATAGATGAAGGACTTGTCGTACTTGATGACCGCAAGTACGTCAAGTGGGCGGATAACCTTGGGGATGTATCGATGTTCCCTTCGATGAAGGAGAACGTGGAAGCTAGGCGAGTACAACCAAGCAAGGGTAAGGGAGTCGCAAGAAGCCAGAGTATGAGGTTGAGTCTGTCTTCGGATTACGAGAGTCCCGTGACACCTATACGAGTGGCGGCGACTAAGTCCGCAAGGGCGTCCTCCTCTAAAAAGGCTGACACTGATTACGTGATGGCAGAGAAGGATGGGCAAAGGATTGAAGGCGAGGAAGTTATACTCTCGCCACGCAAACGCGGAGATAAAAAGTTCACAATGAAGAGTACTTTGGATGATATAGATATGGTCGAGCCTCTCAGACGCGCGCTTAGGCAGCCTATGCAATGCACGATACTAGAGTATTTGGCAGCCTCAAGATCTGTGCGAGATGAGTTGCAGATGATCACGCGCAAGACGCGCATTCCCCTGAGCGATGAAGTCCAGATGGCTACCAAACAAGAGGTACTACCCTCTGTAGCGATATCGAGTGTGGTCGCTAAGGCAGACCGTGCAGAAACGGTGTTCTTAGATGGAATGGAAGGCGTGCCTCCTGACAAGTTTTATATCCTAGGCAGTGGGACCGTACAGACCACACTCAATGACGAGGTAGTCCTTCATGCCGTAATCGATAACGGCAGTGAGGCTGTCATCATAGATGAGGACCTGGCTGTGCGATTGAGATTGGACCTTGATATGTCGTACCAATTCGAGATAGAAACCGCTGATGGAAAAAAACAGAAAGTCGTCGGGGTCTGTCACAAGGCGGCTATCGAGGTCAAAGGATTGAGAGTAATGATGCCTGTTTTCGCGGTCCGAGATTGCAGCTCTGAGTTGCTATCGGGCGGACGTGGTTGAGCCATGTTCATGCGGTTACCATAGAGCGACCGGATGGAAGCCAAATGCTTTCCATCAAACGCCCGGATGGTGGGCGAATTATGATGGAGACGGTGGAGCCTCGTGACCCAAGGAACAGAGCGGCTCTCGCAGCGGGTAGCCGCAAACCGGTCACCCTTGCAAGTCGCTCCTTGAGCTTCGCGAAAAGAAGTATGGGCCACTACTTACGGAAGAAGAAGATCGCGTAGTAGAGATTGAAGACTTAGGCAGCCGAGTCCGTGTAGGTGGTAACTCCTACCCTAAGGCCGAAGATGAGGAATTCTGAGGAATGATATCTGTGTCTTTTTTAAGGGCACAGCCCCCTACGGGGGGCGACCAAAAAGACACAAGACAGTAGCTCAGAAAGTCAAGCCGGCGGTTGTAGCTCGTGAGCGATCCGCGCTAGATGGTGTATCAGAGGAAGAGATCGCTAGGGAGATTAAAGAGAAGAAGAAAAAGGAGCCGCAACGGCTGACAGAGAAGAGGATAGCGGAGATGGACATAGGAGATGGGAACTTGACTGAGCAAGAGAAGGCATGCGTGCTGGAAAAAGACCTGTGACAAAGCTATAGCCTTCAGTGACGCGGAAAGAGGGAGAATTGATCCTAGGTATGCTAAGCCTGCTAGGATGTACACGATTCCGCATACGCCATGGAATGACGCAGGGTGGAAGTTTGCTCAGAAAGAGGAGGAGGAAGTTATTTCCTTTCTCAAGGAGAAGATGGTGTCGCGTGTAGCAGGGCCATGTGATAGCGCGTACGCGAATAAGTGGTTCTTCTTAAGGAAGCCTAATGGAAAGATTCGGTGGATTCAAGACCTCTAGAAGGTCAGTGCTGTGCCGATTCGAGATGTAGGCTCCATACCACACGCTGATCTATTAGCAGAAGGAGCAGCAGACAGGTCCATTTATTCTATCTGCGATTTATTTTCAGGATATGATGAGATACCACTAGATCCGAGAGATAGGCATCTCACAGCCATGCACACGCCACTCGGATTAGTGCAGATGATGGTCGTACCTATGGGGTGGACCAACTGGGTAGCAGTCTTTCAGAGAGCCATGGTAGTTGTTTTGAAAGACTTTATACCTGATAAAGTTGAGGTTTTATTGGACGACTTTCCGATAAAAGGACCGGTACTGAAAGACGAAACGGAAGTCGCTCCTGGCGTCAGGAGGTTCGTAGAGCAACACCTGACGGATATTTACGCTGTCCTGGAACAGTTAGATGAAGCTAACCTGACGGTTAGCGGGACGAAGAGCCGATGGGCGGTGTCGACGATCAAGATTCTGGGATTTATATGCGATTTGAGAGGCTGCCGAGCTGACCCTGGAAAGTTAGAGAAACTCTTGAACTGGCCGACCCCATTGCATAGTGCTACTGAGGTTCGCCAATTCTTAGGAATGGTAGGCTATTGGAGGATTTTCATACGCGGATATGCCGAAAAGGCAGAACCTTTGCGCACTCTTCTTAGGAAGACCGATAAATTTTTCTGGGACACTCCTCAAGAGCTTGCAGTACAATCCCTCAAGGAAGAATTTAAAGAAGGCGGCCGAATCTTAGGCGTACCCTTCTTCAAAGACGAAACCGATAGACCATTCATAGTATCTACGGATGCTGGACCGTGTTCGGTGGGAGGTTTACTTTCTCAAAGAGATGCTGACGGCAAGGAAAGACCATTGAGATTCGAGAGTCGTACCCTCAATACTGCGGAACGCAACTACAATCAGTTTAAGGAGGTGTTAGCTGTTCTGCGGTGTTTAGACGCCTTTAGGCACTACATATACGGGAGACGATTTGTTCTCCGGGTTGACCCCACAGCTGTAGCGTCAGTTCTACAGAAGGACTTTAGTTTGACGGACCCTACGATTGCGCGATGGCTGATCAGTATCCGACTTTACGATTATACCGTGGAAAGGATCTCAGGAACAAAGAACGCCGTGGCTGACGGGCTCTCACGGATTCCGATTGAGGCTGAGCGACCGATAGCAGTTGCTGCACTGACTATGACTGAGCCTAGACGATTGGATAGCTTCCTAGTCAACCTCTATGAAGGTAAGTACCGCACTATAGGACTGCACCTGTCCGGAGAGGAGAGTGCTGATTCGGAGATTAGGAGACAAGCTGCGCAGTATTGCCTTAGAGCGGGACATTTGTTCCGTCGACCTGCCGGAGCAGGAATGCCTCTCTGAGTGATCTGTGATCCAGAGGAGAGGCAGTCCATAGTAGCGGAGCTACATGACGGAGTGGTCGGCGGACATAGAGAAGTAAAAGGGACGTATGAGAAGGTCCGCAGACTATGCTGGTGGGAAGGACAGTTCAAGGATGTCGAAAAGTACTGCGAGACTTGTGAGGATTGTCAGAAGAGATCCCTTATGAGATATAAGGAGCCACTTCACCCTTCATATCCTACTAGACCGGGAGAGAGTACATATTGATCTGGTGAAGATGCCGAAAGGAGTGGGGAACATGAATTATGTAGTGAACATCAGAGACGATTTCACGGGATTTGTCGACGGCAAGCCTATCAGATGGAAGGCTGCAAAAGAAGTTAAGAACTTCGTCCTGGAGTATTTGTCTAGATACGGGTGTGTGAGTAAGATTGTGATGGATAGAGGAGCAGAGTTCCTAGCGGATGAGGTCCAGAGCGTATTCAAGAAAGCAGGGGCTAGAGTATTTATAGCTACTGCCTATCACCCTCAGTTCAATGCACCTGTAGAACGAGGCCACCAGTCACTGATAGCATCCTTATCCAAGTGGTGTAGAGGGAAGGATAGTGACTGGCCGAAGTATTTCCGGTATGCGATATGGGCGGACAATGTCACTGTTCGAGCTAGTACGGGCTACCCTCCGTACACTTCATGGTTTGGGAGGCACTGGCCTCTACCTATAGAGTTCCATGTTGATAGTTGGACTACGGTTAACTGGGCGGATAGCATGACACGGGAGGAGCTACTGGCAGCTAGGACTAGACAGATAGCTTACGGACTAGAGGATAATCTCGTGACTGCGGTTAAATCGACTGGCGGTAGGAAGAGAGAAAGGCAAAGTACGATGGGATAAAGACGTCAAAATCAGAAAGGAGAAGATAAAAGTCGGCGATACGGTACTTCTCTACGACGCGACGCTAGAAAGGACTTGGACAGGAAAACTGACTAACAGATGGATGGGACCTTATCGTGTAGTAGGTGAGTTAAATTGGGGAGCATATATGATTGCTGAACTAGATGGGTCGAAGTGGAAAGATCCTGTGGCTGGGGCTAGACTGAAGTTGTTTAAGCCAAGAGAGACTTCTACTCCTGCGTTGACGCTATCAGACGCTAAAGGAAAGGGGAAAGCCAAGGCGGCAAATGAAGGACCGTCGAGACAATTCGAGGTTGGTGAGAGTTCCAAGAAGAGGAAGAGAGTTGAGACCAGGAAAGTGAAGGGCTTAACGCTAGGTAAGAAAAAGAAATGGGTTTTGTTCTACAAAGACCTAAGCGCAGAGTCCGCATTAGGAAGAGTGGCGCAATTGAGGCACGGCCTCCCCAACGAAGGAGGAAGCAAGGGAAAATTCTTGTATCAAAGCCCAAACGACTGCGACGTAAAAGAGGGAAGAAGCACCCTCTCAGCCCCAGAATTCTTGGCAAACCCAAGCGTCAGACCGAGAAGTGGAAACACTTACGTCGCGCGCGCGTGGTCCACTTAGATCTGGTGCGATTCGTCTGACCGGGACAGAGCAGACTCGACGGGGGCGTCGAGAGGAGGTCCGGGCTTGTTTGTCGGGCGACCGAAGGCCAGTCGGTCGCCCTAATACCGGAAGATTGACCTTTAAAAAAGTTATCCGAGAGGGAATTGACCGGGACTTTCGTCCGATCGGTTGGGAAAAATTAGGGGTAGCCAGGCCACTCCTAATTTTGGGTGTGTCGACCATTGAGACTAGGCCTCGAAATTGTAGAGAAGGACTACCGCTTCGCTGCCCTGACGGCTACCTTATTGTCTATCTCATTTTCGCCCGCTCCAAGCCTTTTCCCGAAACGACTGGCTACAGGACGGTGATTTGAGAATAGGCTTTGACAAGGCCTTTTTACGCTGTCCAACTGACGCGAGAATGGAGCCTCACATTTCATTAATTTTAATATTAAAATTAAAAATAGGAAAAAGAATTAAAAGCAAAGGAAGAGAAGAGAAAAACGGATATTCTTTGATTTATAAATTTTCCTTGATATTTAATTTTTAATGGAATCACCCTCATTATTTGGTGATTCCGACATTAGAATTAAAAACAAGAAAAGGGATCAAAAGCAATGAAAAGAAGAAGAAAACAAGAGATTTTGATGTTTTATTGAGTTTCGTCGAAAATCATTTTTGATGAGAATCCTTTTAATTTCGTTAATTATGATATAAAATTAAGAAATAAGAAAAATAACTAAAATAATAAAAGGGCGAAGGAACCAACGATTATTTAATATTTGACCAATTTTTGACTTAATTATTCGCGATTGATTTTGACCCCGGATTATTTATCTATTCATCTTCCGATGATTCTCTCTACTTTCTGACGATTGAGATTTGCCTGTGCGGCTTACCCGATTTCCCTGATTTCTAGCCTCATCGTAACCTGCGTGTTATGAGTACGGGATGGACGGACGGCGTGGGGTTACCGCCATGTTACTTGATTGTGCCGCACGGCTCTTTTGCGCCAGTATGGTTGCCACTTCGGTTTGAATGCATGGTTCGGGAGGTTCGGAATTGCGACATTCTGCGGTGTTCAACATATTTCTGGCACGGTGTTGGGTCGGGATCGGTGTGGTATGCGCCACTGCATCATTTTTAGGTTCGGTATTATTACGGCACTGCTGCGCTCTACGGTGTTCGACATATTTCGGGCTCGGTATTGGTCCGGCATCGGCATGGTACTGGTTACAGTGACTCCGATTGACTGTTTCGGATTCGACATTAGCCCGGTGTGGGCTGCTGCGGTATAAACTGCTGAGACTGGTTAATTCAGCCTCGGTATGGGTATGGTAAAGGCTCTGTGCTATCACGGAACTGCGACGCTGTACGAGATTTGACATATTTCAGGCCCGGTATTGGTTCGATTTTGGTTCAACGTCGACATGAAATTGCAGGCTAATACTTGTTTTCAGGGTCCGAACAGGTACGGTACAAAATTTGCTGGTGTTGGCATGACACGTTTATGCCACGACATAGGATTCTGTTTTCTGGGCACGGCGATATGGTTGGAGCGGTGCAGCCATATGGCCGATTTTGGCATGCATTCCGCATGGAGGAGGTACGGATACCGGTCTGGAACGATGGTGGTACATAGGTTCAGGACATGCACGAAGTTGTTATGGTATTTGCTATATGGTACGAGATTCTGCATTGTTCTGGTGCGGCAGTCAGACCGAAACTGTCACAATTTTCGCCGTGTGTATTCAGTATGGAATTGGTGCCCACTGCGGCTTAGCCACGTTGCTTGATACGACATTGGGACCGTTGCGGTTCGTCCTGGAACGGCGTCTTTATCCTGGCGGATCCGGTTCTACGACAGCCTGTTGCGGCGCCGGTTCTACGACAGCCTGTTGCGGCGAGAATGAGTCTCAGATTCTGAAATGACAGTCGGAGTGGTCTACGGTGTTCTTGGTTCTTTAATTCGGCAGCCTGTGGCGTCCTAGGTATATAGGAGTGGCCGATAAGCTTGTTTTGCAGTAACCTGGCAGATTGACACCGCCTGGAATGGTTTTCAGGCCAAAAGTTGGGGCCGCAGGTCTTACACCAAATGTGCGGGCCCTCAGTACCCAGTGGAAAGTAAGAAGACCTCTCCTTGGCCTGAGGCTTGGACCTACGGGCCTGGGGGTGGGACTTGGAGGTCGAGGCCTACGGTGCCCGCAGGATATAGCAAGTGTGAGAGAAGGGAGGAGGGTAGACGGTGGTCGAGTGGAGGGCGTGCCTGGTGTTCGCAACCCCCACTTGGAGTGAAAGGCTCGGTTCGAGGAGAGAGAGGGGGGCGAAGAGTGGAAGGACGGGCTAGGCGTCCACAGTCCACACTGACGAGACGGGCTTTCAGCTTGTTCGGAGGACGGCGGGCAGGGAAGTGGCGCGCGGTGCGCGTGCTAAAGGGGGTGCCTGATCAATCTGGTGACAGGGGACTTTTGTCGGGCGCGCGCGTATTCCACCAGGTAACTCTGCAAGAAGGGGAGACATTCGGGCGGTACAGACGGGGAAACGCGCCAGGTGTACGCAACAGATTTTGCGTAAGTCCAACTGATCACAGCAGGTGCACACAGCGGACGGTTGATCTGACTGATCCTCGGCAGGGCGCGAGGCATGATCGGAGGGGTTTTGGTTGGAGGTAAGCCAGGTGTTCACCGTCTTCTCCCCGCTGACAGACGGAGGAAGGAGGGAACTGAGTGGGAAGAGAAACGTGCGTGAAATATCCAGACCCCATCAGTGTTTCGGTCAAGGTCTGAAAGTCCGGCTGGCAGAGCCCTGGCGTACAGGCAAATGGCTGCAAGCGTGAGGCTGCCCACAGAGTGTATTGTAGCACATCTGTGTGAATCTCACTTCAGAGGTAGCAGGGCGGCAGCGCGCTTTCTGGCGCAGCGACGTGTGCAAATCCACCAGGGAGAAGAGATAAGGGCGAAACGAGCCTTCTGCGTGACGCTATGGGAGACGGGCTGATGAGCGAAGCGTGAGACGTACCTAGTGGGGGACGCAATCACGTTGCTAGTGGTTTGCTCACGTTTCTCCTCGCTGGCAACGAAGGAACCATTCCAACCTCTGAACTCATGTTAATCTGGGTGATGTGTACCAGGTTTTTTTTTTTTTTGGTTACGGCGTCGGTTCTTTGCAGATGTTGATGGGGCTAATCCAATACTGTCAGTAAGAGACCATGCGAGTCAGCGCAAGGATAACCAAATCGACAGTGGTACATCGTCGGACATGGTGAGACTATAAGAACTCAAGTGATCTGGTAAGATCGCACATTGGTTGAGTGCGAACCTACAGACTGAAATGGAAAACCCGAGAGTGTGAGAGGATAAGCCTCCTTTAAAGCCAATGAGACTGAC